AAAAAAAAAAACTATGCTCATTTGGAGTGTCTGCAAAATGTGCCAGGGAATTCACATCCTTTGGGAAGCTTACTTTTTTGGAGGATCTTCAGAAAGTGTTGCACTTTGATAAAAGTCTGAAAACTATAGTGGACCTTAACTGTGAATAAGCTTAGACTTTACTCCTGACACTTGTGAACTAAACCAGGTTCTAACAATGTGAACAGAGCTGCTCTAGCTCCTGTAAGATCTTCAAATTCCTGCTCTAATGGCTTAGGAGGAAAGCAAAGGGTTCTGCAGCTCAGAACCCCGAGGGTCCCAAGATTGTTATTTTCCCGTTCACTTCCCATCACCTCTGTTTTAATGAGGACAAAGCCTCTTGTGACCAAGGTGTAAATCCATTGAATATGAGATATCTACATTCCACCCTCTAGTCTACATCACATTCTTCCAGACTTTCCACATAAATAACCCCACATACACCTGTTCTATGACATCATGGTGACTGCCAGATCTTTGATACCCTTAACTTTATCGCTGATTGTCTTATTTCTTCCCTACCCAACTTCCATTCCATTGCCCATAATTTCAACCATTCGCTTGCTAATATCCTCAACTGCCTTGTCTTTCTATCACAAATATATCATCCAGCCTATATTCTGTAACTTTCATTACCTTCCTCCTCCTTGACACAAAGTATGGGTCGGCCCTTTTCCCATTTATGCTGATCTATTCCATCTCTCTCTGCTTAGGAATTCTATGCCACTATGTCCAGATCTTTTTTATATTATGGCACACGTAGAAAAATAACAATATTCATGCAGTTCACTAGAATAAACTGGAGGAGACTGGGACACCTAGGTAGGACTTGGTAAATATATATAATAATTGTGATAAAAAATACAAAATACAAGGGAAGATAAAAGATAATAAATATTAACTTTTATTGAATAAATGTTGAATTGTGTAAAACCTTCAAATAATAGCTTTTAAAATTTGGGCTTGCTTCTCAAAATACAATTTTTTAATATTAGGTTTAAATTCGAAATGGCTGTAGACATTTCCTTTTTTTAAAGGATGACATCTTTGAATGAATAGCTCCGATCAATGAGAAATTTTGAATGTGATAACCACTGAATATTTACAATTGAAATTTCATCAAAGACTCTAACAGCTTTTTTCTTCTCTTTCCTGAACAAATATAACAGAAACGCTATGACAATTCAGGTGAATTGTGAATCCAAATGAAGCTTTTTATTTCAAGTATGTCGAAATAATGACGAAACTCTTAATTTGTGTTGTTGGAGCAAAAAGGACACGCCAACTACAAAAGGCCACACATGTCTGACTAACGCAAAGACTGAGAAATGGGGCTGCTCCCTGGGGCTGCACCTGCCGGGAGCCCCTGTCCGACTCCGACTCCTTGCGTTCCCACTGTACCAGCGGCACCTTGGGGTGCCTGCCATGCATCTGGGGCTTCTAGAACATGAACACCTCCAGCAGCCCCATAGGCCCCTTGCCCGCAATAAGCAGCAATGTGGCTGAATTTTCTGAGATTTAGAAGCAGAGCTGAATGTTGCCCATCATTCTCTTCACCTGTGGAGTATATGGGCGTGACATTAGATTTTGTTCCCTTCGAGCTTGCCTCAAAGGACCCCACAGAAGGTTGCTCAAGATGCAGGCAACTGCCCGATGCGCTCTGCCCACAGCCTACCCCGAAGGCCAAGTGAGTGGATCAGTAGCTTGTGGCATACCTATAACACGTCCATGGGAATGCTAGTTAAGAAATCTGACCTATGCTATTAATTAGCCCCTCTCTCTCCCATATTTTTAACCCTTGTCTTTACTGATTCTTTCCTTTTGCCAGTTACAATCAAGTCTCTCTGGAATTAAAAAAACGAAAACATTGAGGAGATGGATATGCTAATTACCTTGATTTCGTCACTCCACATCGTATACATGTATGAAAATATCACACTGTACCCAATAAAAATATACAATTATGTCAATTAAAACTAATAATAAAAGCAAAAAAAAACCCAAATACAAAAAACTAACCTTCATCCATTCCTTATTTTTCCCTCCAGCTACCACTGTCGTGCATTTTCCAAACAGCTAAACTTCTAGAAAATCTATACTTTCTCCAGATTATCCCCACTTTTTTCTCAATCCATTGTAATCTAGATTTTAATGAAACTACACTCGCAAAAGTTATAAATCATCTTGTTATTGCTGCATTTAATGGATAGTTTTTAGTTCATATCAGCATTTGATATGATTGACCATTTCATCCTTCCTGCAACATTCTTTTCCCTCGGCTTCTATGACATTACATTTTGAACAATAAATAGGTATTGGCCGGGCGCGGTGGCTCACGCCTGTAATCCTAGCTCTCCGGGAGGCCGAGGCAGGCGGATTGTTTGAGCTCAGGAGTTCGAAACCAGCCTGAGCAAGAGCGAGACCCCGTCTCTACCAAAAATAGAAAAAAATTAGCCGGACAACTAAAAACATATATATAAAAAATTAGCTGGGCATGGTGGCACGTGCCTGTAGTCCCAGCTACTCGGGAGGCTGAGGCAGGAGCATCGCTTGAGCCCAGGAGTGTGAGGTTGCTGTGAGCTAGGCTGACGCCGCGGCACTCACTCTAGCCAGGGCAACACAGTGAGACTCTGTCTCAAAACAAAACAAAACAAAAAGAATATGATACAACTGGATTCTGGAATCTTAAAATTTAGTCAGAAAGCAAAGAAAAAGCATATTTTGCCTTAGTATAAAGCTTACCCAGAATGTCTTCATGTCTTCTAATTTTCTTATTTTTGTTTCTTCTCTTACAAAAATACATTCAACAAATTTATTTAAGAAATATTTATTGATTTCATACGATGTGCCAATCACTTTGATGCTAGACAAATATGGCTTCTCCTCTCATGGACCTTTTATTTTAGTGAGGAGACAGAGAGAATACCTAATTGTTTTAGATCCTGATAAATGCCATGAAAACAATATACCAAGTAACATGGAGAGTGGCTAGGGTACCATTTTATTTGGGTGGTCAAGGAAAGCCTCTCTGATGTAGCGATATCAACGAAAATCTGAGACAAGAAACCAGGCGAACATCTAGAAGAACAATGTTCTAGAAGAAGGGACAGCAATTGCAAAGATCCTGAGCCTAGAAGGATCTTTGCTATCCCAGGAACAAAATGAATATGAATTATTAATATTAGGGATATATTTGGTTATATAAAGATCTACAAGCCAAGGTCTCTGTCCTAAAGGAGCTCTGTCACAGAGACGGACGTAAGTAAAAAGATCACAACTACATTGCAGTGACATAAGTACGTACAGGCTAAAAACTACCAAAGAAGTGTAATCAGTTATCTGGGGTGTGTCTCAGGGAAGGCTTCACAAAGGAGGGGAGGTAAAAGCAGGATTTTGAAATACGCCTTGACAAGGCAGGGATTAAAGGGTGACGTGGTGGGACAACAGTGTACAGGGAACAGTTTGAGTACAAAGGCCCACAGGCTGTTTCTTACTGGCAAACACTACAGTAGAAGCAAGTGAGGTACAGAGGCCAGGTCATGCTGGGCTTTATACTAAGTGCATGATGGGAGCTGTCAAAGGGTTCCAAGGAAGGAATCAAAGGGTTAGATTGTGTTTTAGATGGCTATCTCTCTTATTTATGGCTGTGGGAGAATAAATTTGGGCCGTTCTAGAGGCAGTGAAAAAGATGAAAAGAGGGTAGAGGCAAAGGGGCTCAGAAGGAGATGAGAAATCTGAGAACTTTTTAGGAGTTGATAAAATGGGTAGGTCTGTGCTTGTTCACTGTTTAATCGACAATAACTTCCAGTGCCTGGCCCATAGTAGGCACTCAATAAATACTAGTGAAACGAATGACAATGGATAAATGGTGATCGGCTGGGCGTGGCAGCGTGCTGATGAACAGAAGTACTGAGCACCAAATTAATGGACATTAATAGAGTGCTTAAGCCCCCTTTCAGGTGTTGTTTTAATCCTAACAACCCTATGAAGTAGGTATTTCCTTTTCTCACGTGAGAAAAACCTGAGGCTCAGCCAGGTAATAACGTACCCTGCCGGAGGTTCTAGAACTAGTTCGGAGTTAGAGTCAAGGTCCGACAGATAAGCAAGTGCGCACGCTTAAAAATTACTTTGTACTACGTAGCCTAGAGGCTCAAAGAATGAAATAAATTGCTTATGTAAAGCCTAAAAACAAGGAATCCAAAAAAAGTCGGTAACTCTCAACAAGGGGAATAAAAAGAGGGTGCAGAGCGTTCCTGCGAGTCGGTCACAGGAAGATCAGACGGGTCCGTCCGTCACAACAGCCGGAAGCCGCCTCCCCGGCGGTCTAGGGAGGGGGCGGGGCTCCCGGCCCGCGGGGTCGCCAGCGCAGCCGCAGTACAGCTCGTGAGCGCCGCGGCCTGGGAGTGAAGGGAGGAGGGTCGAGCAGGAGAGAGTGGGGCCGACAGACGCAGGCGCATGCTTCCGTTCCGAGGCTGCTTGCTCTTGGGCGCCGCAGGGAGGTCTGACGTCATTTCCTGCCGTAGGTGGTGCTTCCGGGTTGTAGTCTTTCTGAGCCCGCATCTGGGTGACTTCTGGGCGGCCGAGCGGCTGTCCGCCCCCTCCCCCCGCTGCGGTCTTGCGCGCTTTTTTTTCCCCCCTCCCTGCCCCCTCTCGAGTCCTCTTCGGGCCTGCCCCTGATCGCCTGGGCTCGCCGCGCCGTCGCCTGCCGCTGTCGTCGGGAGGTGGGTGAGGTGATGCAGAAAACCCCATTTTTACTCCCTGCATACCCACCCGCGCGGCCATCCGCTCCTTTTTCACCTTCCGCCATTTTCTTGCCTGCGAGGGTGGACAGGTCGTGCTTTGGCTCTCGGGCTCCTGAGTGCGGGTGACTGGGAGAGGCGAGGGAGTGTTTCCAGGGGTATGAACAGGAGAAGTTCGTGGCGACGCATTTGTTTGGGGGTGTTGCTCAGTAATGGCCTGGGAGACGGATAGAGTGGGTGGAGGATGGAGTGCGGTAATCGACGGTCATAGGCCGGCGAGGGTTCAATCCAGTTTTTTTCTTTGGAATTAAGAGATTAAAATGGTATTGTCTAAAGGGGCCTGGACAGCCTCTTTCTGGTGTTGCTAGGAAAGATGCTTTGTTGGAAATAAGAGGATTTCATTTTTTTTTCTAATACAGTTTTACGATAAAAGTAGTTTATTCCGCAGGCTCCATCCATCCATGAATTCAGCTTATCGTTTTTATTCCTTTTCTCTATCCAAAGGATTGGCATGTAGTAGGCCTCTGGTGATGGCATATTGACTGAATGAATTATGGAAGGGCCCAGTCGTTATCCTCATTGTGTATGCCATTTTGCAGATTGTTTTTAAAATGAAAGTCAGCATGATCCCATGTAAACATGCCGTAAAATACGCGGTTATCTGATCTGTTGGTCTCTTAAGTCCTGAGATATGGGTAAAAAAAAAAAAACTAAATAAAAAATATATTCTTGGTATATTATTCTTTTTTTCCTTCATATTCTTGGGGAAGAGGCAAAATTTGGAGGATGCCAAATATGCTGTTAGCTTTACACCACAGGAAGAAGGATATGACATCTTCGTTATTCCATTTTTTTTGGAATATTGATTTATGGGAGAGGTTGCATGTTTCCTGATGGTTATTTAATTTTTTAAAATAGAAGCCCAGAAATACCTGGAGATTTTTTCCTCTTCTATTTTTGGGAATTATCCTAATTACTGGGCATAGATTTCTGAAAGGAACAAAACATGAGTAATGTGGAATAAGCCAGCTTCAGGAAGAAAAATATGTGTGTTGTTTTATGGATGCCTTTTTATATCTTGATATTAATCAGCTGATAAATACTTATGAAACACCTGTGCTTTTTCAGTTAAAGGACCTAACATGAATAATCAATCCCTTAATTAACTAAGTTAATTAGTAGGTCTGTTACTTTTTCATTTAGCTGTTTTTATTTTGTCAAGTACTTAAGATGTTAGTAGTGTTTAGTAAATATTTGTTGGTTGATTACCATACAGACTAGTAGTTTTACTATATTATACATTTTCTTGATTCACTTTGACCTATGTCGTGATAGTTTCTAATCCTTAATATAAATGTTTTTGATACAGGAAAGATGAATGGGAGGGCTGATTTTCAAGAGCCGAATGCAGAAGTTCCAAGACCAATTCCTTGTAATTATCCATCATGTATTTATAATTAGAAGCACTTTCTATGTAAAGGAAATTTCACTGCCTTGAGTAGCAGGAGCAGCTGGGCTGGTTTCAAGCGCATGTCACCTGTGCATTCGCACAGGGCCCCATACTTGATTTAATGCTGTAATGTTACCATCTTGAAATTCTTAATAATTTGAACAAGGGATTTCACATTTTCATTTTGCAGTGGGCCCAGCACATTATGTAGCCAGTCTTCACTAGGAGATATTATTAATAGCACTAACTTCTGTTTTAAGTCAAAGTTTGTTAGACATTTACAAGCCTGTTGTTTCATTCCTTGATTAAAAAAATAGCGAATATATCTTGTTAATATTTAGACTAAGCTAATTTTTCAGACTTTGTTTTATTATGGGTATGTTAATGTTTTCTCATTTTCCTTGGTAAAAAGACATAGGGGCTGATTACATTCCAACAGAGGAAGAAAGAAGAGTCTTCGCAGAATGCAATGATGAAAGCTTTTGGTTCAGATGTGAGTTCACTTTTCTAATCAACATCATTTGATCCAAAATTCGTACCCGAAATTTTGACCTGAATTTGTACCTGAAATTACGATGACATCATACAGAATACATTGGCAAACTTTTGGTATAGTGTGATTGTTGTTAGAAGAGATTGATTAAGGAGCTAGAAGGAATTGTATACATTTTAAAGTAATTATTTCCAGAATATTTTTTTAAAACCATGAGGTAATTTTGTCAGTAATAGTAATAGCTAGCATTTACTAAGTGTATGTGGATTATATAAAAACAACCTAAAAAGGTTGATGACTATTACCCTCACTTTGCAGATGAAGGAATTGGGGTTTAGAGATGTTAAATAAATTACGTAGTCTTAACACAGTTGGTAAGTCATGTGTTTGGACTTGAAGCCAGGTCTGTCTGAAACAGAAGCTTGGGATTTTAACTCTTATACTTTTAACCATTACATAATAAGAACAAGTTCCCCTTTTATTATCATTGTGAAATGTTACTACACTATCAGCTTGATTTCTGACAAGATTTTATTTTTTAACTACAGAGAATGTTGGAAGCAATACATAAAATATAATCTTATTTTTGAGCAAAACCTTGGTAGTCCTTCACCTGGAAACTGTAATCCTTTCAGATAAGGTAATTCTAACAAAAAAGCAAGAAATGTTTAAAAAAGGTGGGGGGCAACTTAAAACAATTAGGATGTACATTTGCATCAGTCAGCCTGGTATGTATGCTTATAATGTGCAAGGCACTGTGCTTGAAAGATAAATTTTGTGAAACATAGTCTTTGTCTTGAAGTAGTTTTAAGATGTATTTGAGACAAAGCTAACACATGAACCAGAGAAAAATTAAGTGTATAGCTGCAATAAGAATTTTAAAAAGAGCTTAATTAATTAGAATTGAATTAGCTAAAAAAGACTTCATTAAGTAAATGAGACTTTAATAACTAATAGGACTGTAGGTAAATAAAGAGGAAAGGTGGAGAAGCTTTTAGATGAAAGGAATAGGCCAGGCACCATGGCTCATGCCTGTAATCCCAGCACATTGGGAGGTCAAGGTGAGAGGATTGCTTGAGGCCAGAAGTTCTCCACTAGCCTGAGCAATATAGTGAGACTCCGTCTCCACAAAAAAATTAAAAAATTAGCTGGGCATGGTGGTATACACCTGTAGTCCAAGCTACTTGGAAGTCTGAGGCAGGAGGATCTCTTGAGCCCAGGAGTTGGAGGTTTCAATGAGCTATAATGACGCCTGGGAAACAGAGCAAGACCATGTCTCAAAAAACGAAAATAACAAGAACAAAAAAGAAAGGAATGGTGAGCAAAGGCAAAGTCTGTAATAACTTGATCTCTGTTAGATCCTTGCAGTTGAACTGATTAGAGGAGAGGCCTTTCATTGAGGGTAGAGCATAAAACACTATGGTGAGGAGTTAACAGTTTGATTCATTATATATTTTAGGTTTGTGGGCCAAGGGGATGATTGCTAAGGTTTCTTAAAGGAAGATCACTTAGGAGTGTGCAAGGTGGGTTAGAAGGATGAGAAGTTGTACTTGGAGAAATCTGTTAGGAGCTTTTGGCAATAACTCAGGCTTACAGTCATTGAGGACATGTGGTTGATTGGTTGATTAAAAGTGTCATTTGGACTGGAAAAGATGGGCCGGCAATGAACGATTTTTGAAAGAACATACAAACTGGATTTTTAAAAAGATTGACTAAGGGGGAATGAAGGAAAGGTAAGAATCAAATATTAGCTTCAAGATATCCAACCTAGGAGACTGAACGGCGACATTGCTGATTGAAAGGTTCGGTTGGAGTTCTTGTTTGAAGGGGAAAGCAAGTTTAGCTTGGACATTTTGAGTTCATAGTGTAACGTTTGATTGCGGAAGATCTGTAAGCAACTAGAGATAGAAACAAAGGTATACTTGAGAAATTAGGGTGGGTTGTATAGTTGTGTTGGTGAATTCACCTAGGAATTAAGTGTGGAGATAAAAACATAAAACTGGTAGTAGTGTCTGTGACATGATTAATGTTCAGGAATGATGGAGTAAATGGTAAAAGTTTGGGTGGTACTTATGGATAAGGGAACAAATGATGGTAAAAGAATCAACAAAAACTAAGAGCAGTTAAGAAGATAATAGGAACTTTAATAGAATCTTTGCCGTTTTATCCTCTCTCTAATGTTTAGAGACTTACAGATGTTTCAAGCTATTAATAGAAAGAACCTGAGTCAGAGTTATGTAATAGTGCACGTCTCCAGTTGAGAATAATTTAGGTGCTTAGTCATCACGAATCAAGCACTTCTAAAAATTTTGGATATCTCATAGAATGGGAATAATTTCTGAGAGAACTCAGCTATACTGTGGCAACAGATTTTTTTTTAATCTTTGACGACTGCATAGGGTAGATAGGATAAAATGATCTGTTTTCAAGTCTTGATGACACAGGATTAAAAGACAAGTCTGGTAGGCAAGGTTTAGGATTGTTGTAATGTTAGGCTGATGTTTAAATAGATACTAAGGTGTCCAGATTTATTTCTGGCTGATAAATTTATGCTGTTGTACATGTTTAACGTTTTAAATTGCTGTAACAGCATTATGATATGATTGTTCAGTGCTTCATGTTGCAATTCTTGAACCAAGCTGAACGAGAAAAATGATTGCA